ATATATATTTTATATATATATATTTATATATATATATATATAAATATATATCATTAATATATATATATATAAATATATATATCATTATTATTATGATTAAAGAAGAAGAGATTATAATCAAAACATATTGAAATCCTTACTAAAAGTAAATACACAAAGTACTTTACTTTTGTGTAGTGATTTAAGATGTTTTATTACAATCTCTCAAAATAATAATAATAATATATTGCTTGCTTAGTATTGAGAGCTTTAAATTAAACAGTGTAAATTTACTCTCTCTCTCTCTCTCTCTCTATATATATATATATATATATATATATATATATATATATATATATAAATATATATATTAAAAATAGATATACATGTATATTATTATTAATACTGCTATTAACGTTACTTTATCGATTAATAAAAAAAATAACAAGTGCTTCGCCAAAAGAAAAAAAAAACGTAAGCGGAAATGTAACATTTTTTTTTAATAATATAATTTTCAGGGGAATTATAAAAATAAAATGTATAATGTTTAACATCGACTAAAACCACTAAAAGCAAATTTCAAATAATATAAATGCCTCATTTTTAGAAAAATGTTATGTTTATTAAATTTGAATTTGCTAATTAAACGAGAAATTAACAGAATTGTGGGAAAATATTACTGAATGTGAGCTTGAAATATCACAAGGTATACATTTTAACGTAGAAGTTGAATCAATAACAGTCTTTGAAGCTCCCCCGTCAAATTATATTAAATAGATTTAAGCATAAATTAAATACGGTGGAATAAAAATACAGAAGTTGGTTTCGTTTATGTAAGTTAGGTTTTGTTTTTATAGGATTTTATGAGAATTAGTAGAATTAATATTTTATAATGGTAGAAATAAAATCAAAGGAGTTAATTCAAACTTGTAGAATTGTTTCCTATTTGCCCTACTGTACAAAATAAATAAATATATAAATAAATTAACCACTGTTAAAAAAAAAAAAATTCTAAAAACATCTCTCGCACAAAAATGGAATTAAACTGTAAATTTTTCAATTCTTTAAACAAGTGTTTATTTTTTTTTTAAATCTTGCTTCAACAAAAACCGGAAGAATTTCAAAAATCGTATTGGAAAACGACTGAGTAAATTTTACGGCGTTTTATTAAACTCGGCAATTACCAAATCTCCACAAAAATAAATTTTGAATTTTATTAAAGTGTTTGTTTAAGGTTTCATGACAAAAATTTAAGATGAGTTGATTTGACAGTGAATAGAATTGTTTTTTTTACCGAAGAAAAATTTCAGGGACTTTTCTTTATATCAATAATATTTTTCGTCAACTACCAATTTCAAACATGTTATCGATGTATCAAAACCGGGAATATAACTAACAAAAATATTTCCACATACTTTCTAATAAAATAACAAATTCAGTATAAAAGTCATTTATAAATTAATGAATTTTGGAGATTTAGATTATATAATTGATATTTAGTATTTTTTCGAAAACAGAACGTTTTTATTTCTTTTCTTTTCTTTCTTTCTTTCATTTATAAAAAATAGCACGTGCATTTTTATTATTATTTCCCTTAACAGGGAAGAATTGTTAGCTGACGAATTAATAACCCAATAAGAAATTAATAGGGAAATATGCATAATTATGCTTAATCTTTTTATATGCCATCGCCATTACAGTGTTGATCATCATCATCATCATCATCATCATCATCAATAATAATATTATTATTATTGTTGTTGTTGCTGCTGTCATTTTTTTCCTTTTGTTGTCGGTAAGCTTTTTAAACCGGCGGTAATATCTGGTGGCTTTCACTGAAGATTATACGATAGCAAACTTCAGTATTCCTATTTTTTTTTTGAATATTGATTAACTTATATTTCGTTTGAATATTATCGGGAAATATTTGCAAATGGATTAATATTATTAATTATTGAATTATTCTGATTATTCCGGTTAATTTTACTATTTTACGCATCCTGCCCAAAATAAATACAGAAATATAAATAAAATTAAAAAAAAAAAATTATACAAATATTTAATATTCTAAGTTCACCGGTTATATATTCTGCATGAGTAAGCCACGCTTTTTATCAGGACAATAAACTGTACTGTCGCATGCAAGAAAAATACTGCTTTTTAAATAATTAAATTAAAAATGTCGAAAGCAAACTAAAAGAAAGAAAGAACGAAAGAAAGAATAAAAAGGAACAAACAAATTAAAAAGCAGTGAATCAATAACCTGATGTTCCATATATACCTATAAGATATTCTGTTGTAATCGTAGAATGGAGCATTTTCCTCCTTTGTATCGAGTAATACTTCCAATTACCACAATAGAGGAATATTTCATATCTGAAAATGGAGAGCAGGCTACGGGATCGATATATATATATATATATATATATATATATATATATATATATATATATATATATATATATATATATATATATATATATATATATTTAATTAGAGGAATCTAAATGACATAATAATAATAAAAACGAAAGAATATTAATCTACAACCCAGTGTGTCGGAAGATTTATTTTTTAATATTTTTTATTGTTCAAATACATATATATATAAATATAAATATATATATATATATATATATATATATATATATATATATATATATATATATATATATATATATATATATGTATATATATATATATATATATATATTTATATTTATATATAAATATATGAATATATATTTAAATAAAGTTAAACATAAATTATATGACTAATCGATCTTACATGGATTTTTTGAGCATAAATATACATTGTCTGTACAAAGTGTTAACAACAAGATTTTATAAGAAAACATTCTAATTTAGATAAATATTTTTATTTTCATAGTTTTGATAACTGTATGAAAAGAATTTTTCCCTGTCATTCACAAAAATCATATTTGGTGAGTACGACAAAATGATTTAACAACTTTATTATTCATATAGAACTATTCACAGGCTGATATATATATATATATATATATATATATATATATATATATATATATATATATATATATATATATATATATATAGGTGAAAAAATGGAATTCTTAGAAAGATTCTGTACAAAAAATTTGTTGTATAGACTAAAATGACAATTGGCAAAAAAGGCACCTAATATTTAATATAGTAATATTATCTATAGTATATGAATTTTTACAGAGAGAAATTAAAATTAATACTTTGTTACTGAAAACTGGATTTGTAATTTGTTTTTTTTTCCTTTTTTCTTTTTAAAGCAAAGAAGAAAACAACAAATTAAGAAAAAAAAAACACTGAAAATCTCTTTGTAACAATTTTTTAATTTTAATTCATTCTAAAATTCATGTATTATAAATAAGTATTACTATATTAAATATTAGGTGTCTCCTTTATCGGTTCTCTTTTAAGCTACACACACACACACACACACACACACACATATATATATATATATATATATAGATATAGATAGATAGATAGATAGATGGATAGATATAGATATATAGATACATATATATATGTGTGTCTGTTTGTGTGTGTGCGTAAGCGAATGTAAGTGTGTTCGAGTCGCTACACCTGTTTTTTGGGGTTTTTTAATCAGTCAAATTAATAATCACCAACATAGGTCCACTCTATAAAAAGTAAGAAAAGCTGCATAGCAACTGAAACACGTGTACCCATTAAACATAACATTTAATTTATGTCATATAGCTAAAGATAACATTAACAATACCATCATATTTTATAGTAAATAGAGATAATATAGAATTAAAAAATACATACAGGAATATATATATATATATATATATATATATATATATGTCATTTCTATATATATTTTTACATATTTTATATGTGCAGTATTTATTGGAAAGCGCTCAATATCAGTGATAGAAAGCATTCTTATATATATATATATATATATATATATATATATATATATATATATATATATATATATATATATATATATATATATACACACGTATATACACTATTTGTATTTATATACATATTTACTGAAACTTATGCAGATAAAAATACAATGGGTGTGTATATCAGTATGTCCCTAGCCTAAGGCAAAATGAAGAATATATTTTATACAGTAAATATATATTCTTCAACATGATGTTTCATTTCCATCGAAGTGTTCGGCAAAAAGTAAACCATATTACTTCTTTTGAAGCTTCTATATTGGTCACATCGATCAAAAATTACCGAATTAAAATTTCAGATATAAATTCAGCAAAGACTCTCAGGCTACAGATATATTGGTCTACCCACCTATTATTATAAGCTCTCGCAAATACTGACCTTGAGTCACTCGATCTCTATATTTCTTGCCTGTCAATGTACGTATACATTTTAAAATTTTCAACCGGTTTATGAGTCTAGATAAAACTTAAAAATGATAAAACTAAAATCTATATTTATCATGTTCTTGTCCCATTTTCATCACAGAATAATCCCGAGGTTTATATGGCAAAGTCATAAACACAAATCTATGGCCTTAATTCGTTTTAATGGAAATAGACGCAATAATATTTTAAAACGTAACAAGAAACTCCGTACCCTTGTCCCCTCCATGTCATATAGAACATGTGCTTAAGGAATTTTATATTCTTAAATAATTCAATTTTGTTTTACCCTAGAAATCTAATCATGTGTATATAGTACCCAACGAAAAATTTCCTATTTTTAATTACAATTTTCAGTACCTGATTTTCTTATCTAAATAATGTTTTTCAGTTCCTATTAATGTTAACTCAAAGTACAAAGTATGAAGTGTCTGCGTGTAAAATATTTCAAATAAAGATTTATAGTTAATAATTTTTTTGATATTTTCAAGATAGAGTATGATATACCTATGGTTATCAGCAGTGTAAATTTAATTGATGGTTAGTGTTCTAGAGTTAAACAGATTAAATGAATATAGAGATAAATGAAAATATTAAAATATAAAGTATTGTAAAATACAATAAAATTTGATTTGCTTATAGATAGATAGATAGATAGATAGATAGATAGATAGATAGATAGATAGATAGATAGATAGATAGATTTATAAAAACACATACATAATATGAATTATTACCACTCAGGAAATACGTGAAAATTATAAGAATTTTCCGTGTCTTTCATTCTTAGATGAACTTCTGCCATATAATGTTCGATAGGTAACTAACGCTGAATAATTCAGGTGTCTTATCAGCTAAGTCATTTAAACTTTTCTCAATCTATTGAATGCATATGTGCGCGCACACACACGCACATACACATATCTATTCAGTTTTATGGATATAAGTTTGAAACCCTGTTTCACACCTTTGCGATCATCAGATAATTTTTTCTAATGATCGTAAAAGCGTGAAACCCAGGGTCACTAACTCATATCCATACAACTGAATATGTTATCTCTATTACGTTTATTGAGCACATTCCGCTAACTTCAGAGCATAGAATATATTATATATATATATATATATATATATATATATATATATATATATATATATATATATATATATATAATGGTTAATGGTCTGAGTTGAATCAGGCCAGGAAGCAGTTGTATTAAAAAGTGCTCAATACACGTGAGAAAAAAAAAAAAAATAAAAAAAAAAATCAGATAGGACTTTTAACTTAAAAAATCAGGAGGTCAATTAAAATACGCAGCCATGATTTTATATATATATATATATATATATATATATATATATATATATATATATATATATATATATATATATATATGTGTGTGTGTGTGTGTGTGTGTGTGTGTGTGTGTGTGTGTGTGTGTGTGTAAGTATGTATAAATTTCGTTACCTACCGGCCTGTGGTGTGTGTGTGTGTATATGTGTGTGTTTGTCTTCCCATGCACGCATGTATTTGATATACAACACTGGGATTATATGTTATTTGGGCTTTGAATTTGTGCCTACGTTGAATTTGAAATATCGCCTTCTCTTTTCGACATTTGGAATACACAAAGTAAATAGCTACTAAAATGAGATGTTGTCATTCGTTTAAGGAAAATAATTTAAGCGAACAAATACAGTTTCGACGACTACTATGCAGTTGACGTGGCACAGAACATAGAGGATGATAAAATCATTCGATAAACTAATCTTGATGATCATGAGTTCAGTCCCTTAGTCGGTTTAGTACAAAATGTAATATATATTTGCTTGAGTGGACGAGAAAAAAGATATCACATGGAAAGTAATAGTTATGATATTGCTTCATTGGAATAAATACCTCGGTTCGAAATTGGTAGAAGAAACATGTGAAGAAGGTTGTAGATTACAACGGCCGAAACACATTGAGGATAAAAAAACCAAGAAGAGGATAGTAGTCGAAGTAATTATAGAGAAGTAATATTCTGAAAATGTTAAACAAAAAAAGAAGTATTTTTACAGAATGTTGTCAATCTTGGCTCTCTACAACTAAATCTCCTTTGTGTTTTATTTTTAAATTTTTAACCCTGTTCTGTCATCTTTGTATACAAGCTCTTTAGGTTGGTTATTCGTTGCTATACTCTGTACCTCTTACTTTCAGTATATCCCGTGAGTGTCAAATTCTCTTAGTCCTCTTTCCTCATTATGCGCCCTAAATATATCGATTGACTCTTTCTGATTCAAACTATAAGTGTTATTTTTCTTTCACTTTTACTTAAAATTTCGCTGTTACTCTCAGGTTCAGTCCATGATATCCTCAACATCTTTCTGCAGAATCTTATTTCTATTGCCTCAAGTCTCTTCTTTATCTTTGAGGAGATTTTAATAATTTTGGCAGTAAAAAAACAATAGAGTTATAGGACTTACAGTCTAAAAGAAAAAAATCATATTGAAGTAAAATGTGGGGGTATGCTTTCGCAAGATCAGTATTTTCCCAATAATCTAATATCAGATTTTTCTTAAGTAGGTGGATTGAATATTTTCCAGCATACCCTCGTATATTTCTAAGACTCTAAGCTCTTATTTTTAAAATCTCCTGAGAACAACAACGAGAAAACAAAAACACAATTTTAAAACTATAGAGAAAAATATATAGAATGTAATTCGAGGTACAGGTTAATGAATCAACCTGAAAAAGAAGAAGGCCACTTTTAATAAACAAAGAGAGACATGACTGGGTGGGATTGTAATGCGGAACTGTGCAAGCGACTGCATTTTGTGAGGCTGTCGTAGAGAAAAGCAAAAGACAAATATATAAATAAAATGTTCTTAAATTTTTGAGTTTCAACATATCAGACAACCCCATATCAAAACTAGGGCACGTACACGAAAATAATGTTTGCCCGAAAATATAGTCTTCTGTTACGGCAGAAACACAGCATAGACCAGAAAGAAATATATCTCTACATTACTTGTGTTATGTTACTGTGTAACATCAAATTAACAGTCTTACTAATGCTAATCGGAGCACTGGTATAGATTCCCTAAAGAACAGATAAAAGACGGAACAATATGGAAAAAGGCACAAATCTCTAAACTATCTAGCCGACAGAACTTGAATAATGTGAAGAAAGCTGTGGTATTCAAACGACTTACTGTCGCATGATCTCCATAAAGCCACCAAAGAGTACAGATAATAA